CCCGGAGAGTAGGGCAGGGACTCAATCTCTTCTGCAGTCATGGTAGACAACGGCGAGGACCTCGCCACTCCATTCGGTAGCTGAGGGGGCCCCAAGTCTCTCGCCCCGTAGTCTGGACCTGCAGCTTCTCCATCCATGGTAGCCATGCCAACTCCCTGTCGCGGAGTATTCAGCGTAGGTTGGGCAGTCATAACCTGTTGACTTTCACTGCCAGTGGGGTTCACGGGAGCGGCCATGGCTATATGCAATCTACGTCTTCTTAGAATCCTTACAAGCTGTCGGGGCAAACCCTCAAACGGGAAGCCCACACGAACAACAATTCAACCAACGGATTATGTCCAAAGAGGGCACGATCACCCCTAGCCCCACACAAAGGAGGAACTCTATGAGGGACCGAAGCTTCTCTCCGAAACGCAAGACCGCCTAACAACAGGCACAAAGCCTTCACTTCAGCAGCCTTTTCTCGCATTGTCTTGAGCCACGGTTCAGTGGCACTTGCTTCTGCCGATCATGGCAAACATGCTTCTCTTGAGTGGCTTCTGTGCATACACTCATGTTGCGAAGCCGACACTCATATGCTTTACAGCACCAGCACACACGGAGTCTAAGCCAGCACTGTAACACCAACATAGTACTAGTAGTACTAGTAGTACTAGTACTAATAGTAGGGAGGGCGTATTTTTCAGTTCTTTGTTTATTATCTCTTTTTTTTTCGCCGGGGTCCCTTCGAAGGCAATGAAGGAAGGAAGGAAGAAGGAAGGAAGGAAAGAAGGAAGGAAGGAAGGAACGAAGCCCCGCCGCCCGTACGATTTTGTTGTACACCAGCCATGCGAGCATCGTGATTGCGAATGGGGGTCTGCGACCCCCCCCCACCCCCCACCCCCCCGCTGTTTTAAGCCGCCCGCAAGGTTGCATGACAGCCTGGGAGTCGTTCTTGAAACCCGCGATGCCTGAGATGAGTCGTTTAGAGACAAAACACCATTCACCTTGTGACAAGGGTGCTTGCAATTGGGAACCTGCGCCGGACATGCGAGAGTGCGCACTTGCTTGACAGCACTGTTTCTTTTTTTGCTTTAACCGACCACGCGACCATCATAATTGCAAATGTGGGCGGGGGGGGGGGCCCCCCCCAACCCCCCCGCTGTTTCAAGCCGTCTGCAAGCTTGCGTGACAGCATAGGGGTCGTTGCTGAAACACACCCTGCATAATATGTGCGTTTTTGAAACAACGCCATTCACCCTGCGAAAAAATGTGTTTGCAAATGGGAAGCCTGTCCCGCACGTGCGAGAGTGCCAAGCTTGCATGACAGCATATATGCGTTTTGTTTAAAACCAAGCATGCGAGCATCCTGACTGGCTGCCCCCCTTAAACCCCGCCCCCCCCCCCCCCCAGCCGCCCACATGATTTTGTTGTAAACCAGCCATGCGAGCATCGTGATTGCGAATGGGGGGGGCTGCGCCCCCAACCCCCCCGCTGTTTTCAGCCACGCGCCCCGCCACGACAGCAAAAAAACAACGACAGCAAAAAAAAAACACTCTTACCATGCTTGTTGTTTCCGCTTAGGAATGAGGGTTTCAAAGAGGGGACCCGAATATGGGTAGTTCTGTAAATTAGGTCGCTCCCTCAGTTTCCAAAATGCTACGGCCCCCTTTTTTTGGAAAGGACCCTAAAAGGGACCCGAAGTTAGAGAACGACTTAGGGTTTAGGGTTTGGGGTTTATAGATATAGAGCACTAAGTTTTGGAGGAGCCGCTTAGTTGGGTGAAGGGCTTTAGAGCTCTAGGGTTTAGGTTTCTTGACAGGTTCTTGAAGGATTCTTCAAGGGTTCGGTGAGGGTTCTATGAGGAGTTGATGGTTTAGGATTGCAACCTTTATTGCGTTTGGGTTGGTTTGCTTTGGGATTCAGGGGGTGTGGTTTTTATGGCTTTTGGATTTAGTTTACAGTCGTGAGGTTTCGGTTTCGCGATCTTGGGATTCGAATAAAGTTAAGGTTTGGGGCCGGCAGGGCTTGGGTTTGGGGGCTATGCAGCGTTGAGTTGTTCCTGTTGGTTGGCCCGCTGCGCTTTTGCATTCCGCCCGAAGACAGAAAATGACAGAAAGCAACATCCCAACCCGCCAGACGCGCCATGCGGGAGCCAAGACATCCCAACCCTAACGGGTAGTTGTCAAAATTAAGGTCCCTTTTTGGGTACCCTACATAGTAGGTGCCGTATTATAAAAGAGACCCAAAAAGGGACCATAATTTGGACAACCACCCAACTCAAACATTCACTCAGCACAGCAGTTGTCGCCAGAACTCTAATTCTTTCCCCTGGCCTAACTCCTAAACTTTAAACCCTAAACCCCCTAAACCCTAAACCCTGGGCCCTAAGACGAAGCCTTATAAGCCGTCACCACCAACCCGACGTCGACTTAAGCACCAGAGCAGCAAGCCTCGACAACTCCCTTCAGTTCGTTTCTGGACTAGAGGAGCTTGCAGAGTAGGTGACCTTTATGCTTTTTGGGTAGTATAGTCCCTATATAATCCCTATATACTCCCTGTATAATCCCTATATAATCCCTATATAGTCCCTATATAACCAAAAAGGCTAACCTTTAGTTGCCCATGATACCCGACAAGGTAGGAGCCTGTAGAGTTTGTGTCAGAAGCCCTTCCGGTTCCCTACGGTTGATGATATAAATCCTGCATTACCTTAATGGCCGTAAACTATGGGAATTTATGCATATTCCTTATTATGGGTCATGCAGGATTTATATCATCAACCGAAGCTCTTCCGGTTCCCTATCATAGTTTGCATCCTAACACAGACCAGAAGCCCATTCTAACACGTAATTCAGGCCCCCATAGTAATCCCCCGGGTTTTTGCGAACCTTTGTCATAGTTGGGTAACATTTTACATTTTTATGGGTACTTAAACCCAATCAGGAATAAGAACTTGTTTAATCCTATCCCAACCATGAACTAGTAACCCTTTCAGGAACCACCGAATCATCAAGGCCCCCTGTGTACCATGCAGGGAGCCTCGTAGTTAGAGGAGGATTGGAGCTCCTTTGTTGGTTTAGTTATATGAAAGGAACCCTCAGGAATGATCTTGGTAATACCCGACCCCAAACCAGGCAGACGGAAAAATCAAAAAGCATTCAAAAAATAGTCTTGGTACTACTTTCGGCTTGTGATATTAAGCACCCGAGGCTCTTGGTCAAAGCCTGTTACTGCTTTCTTCCCTCACTGGGATGGTCCATGACGCTTCTGGCCGTCTTCATGTCTATCGGCACGCGGCATGGCAAGGATATGGGGGTTTAGGGTTTAAAGTTTGAGGTAAATGAAGTTTCGGGTCTCTGAGACTTTGAGGTAAAGTTTAGGGTCCCTAAGACTCCAATGTGCCGTGATGAAGGAATAGACCTTATAATATGTCGTAGGATCCCTAACTGATATGATGTGTTTGCGCGATATTACTTGGAGTGTCATGGGACTTAGTAACTAAGGTTGTAAATTGTAAATACCTGAGTTGGGGTTATGAGTAGTCATAAGTATAGTTACCTTACATATAACCCTAGTTACTAAGTCCCATGGTCCTGGGGTTCAGGCTCCATGTGGTTGGTTGTCAAAATTATGGTCCCTTTGTGGGTACCCTAAATAATAGGGGCCGTATTATAATAGGGACCCAAGAAAGGGACCCTTGTTTTTACAACCACCCATGTTGGGGCCCCGAGACTTCCCGCAGTAGACGGTCGCACTCCCCCAGCAGACCCCTTCCCAACTTTCAACTTGGGGTTTAGGGTTTAGGGTTTACTCAAAGGATCATTAGGTCATAATTGGGGTTGTAAATCCTTTAAGTGGGGTTATCCTCATTGTAATCATAACCTACTTAAAACCTGGCTTACTAAGTCCCATGAGCCTTTAAGTAGGGTCCCGAAGCACCAGCACAATGCAGGAGGTAGCTAAACCACTGCCCGAAGATGCTCGCCACGGCAAGGCAGGTGCCGAAGTTCTTTGACCCCCGGCTCCCCAAAAACTTACCTTTGGTTAGAAGGGAATGAAGGAATGGGGTACAATTATAACCACTATTACTACCATTCTTCCATTCCCTACTAACCAAAGGCAAGAAGACCCCCAAAGTGCTAGCGATGGAAAATCGCTAGCGTGTGGCTCAAACACCGAACCGCTACGACTGATGATATAAATCCTGCATGACCCATAATAAGGAATAAACCATAATTCCCATAGTTTAGGGTCATTAATGCAGGATTTATATCATCAAGCGTAGCGTTTGGAAAGCGGTACCGACAAACCGTAGGGTCTCGGATCGAAGGGGCCTCAAAAAAGACAGGGAGTTTCCGAAAATTGGGGGGTACCTTTTTTTTTTTTTTTTTTTTGCTGGGGTCCTTATAATAGGGATCCTGCTATTTAGGGGACTATATTCGGGTCCCCTATTTTCAGAAGTTCCTTTATAGATCCACTAACCCACTGTTCTTTTCCAATGCTCCCTACATGTAGCTCCTCAGGCCTCAAACTAAGACTCACCTTGGGTACGGCCCCCACTCAGTAATAGTTGAATAATATTCATAATATAGATATAGTAGGACCTTAATAGTAGCCCTATTATAGACTCTTACTGTATGGGGGCCGTACCTAAGACTCACCAATGATTCTTCTTTGTTCCGCTGCCATGCCTTTCCCCTTCGATCACCGATGCTTTTTCCTTGGGTGGCGTACGGGAGTGTTGCCCCAAAATCGCTGGCTTTCCGAGAAGAGAGAAGAAGGTGTGTTTGGGGATTTTGAGGGGTTGCGTTCTAAAGTCACTGCATTTGCGGTTGTGCGCTTGCAGCAGCTAAGAGCACAAGAAGGTCATGGGCCCAAGGTTACAAAGCGTCGTAGCAGGGCCAAAAGAAACTGCCAAAGTGGTTTAGGTGGTTGGATTTAATGACCCTACTCGCCCAGTTCTCCGATCTTGAAGCCTGCAGGTGCCCCCCAAACACTAGCCCACAACCAGCGCTGAAATGCTAGAAGCCGCTTTCTATGATTCGTGGTCGCCCGGCCCGACATCGTGCCGGGGCCAGGCTTCGCCAATGGACGCCAGTATCATGAAAAAGAAGCTGCATCTTCCTACAGTTCCTTTGCAATTACATGACCAAGCGCCCCGAAACCCGAGTTGAATCACTCGGGCCCTCACGCCCCTGAGCCTTGTATATCCCTCTACAGGGCTATTGAAACCTTTCTTGAAGTTCCCGGCCCCGAAGCCTTAAACCCAAAAGCCTTTCAAGCTCAAAACCCTATAGAGTAGAAGCCAGAAAGTTGGAACATCATGCTCCTCATGCCCTTAAGCTAAGTTATAAGGGAACTGGCACGAATCCTCCTAAAGCCATGTTCCAAACTTCTGGCTTCTACTATAGTCTAAGGCTCGTTCTGGGCAATTTGCTTCAAGACTTCATCTCCGACACGACTGCCAACCTCGAGGCTGGCTTCGGAGATTTCGAGCTTGGGGGTGTTCGGAGTTAGGGATTTTAGGGTTTAGGGTTTAGGGTTTCAGGGTTTAGGGTTTAGGGTTTAGGGTTGGGGGTGTTCGGAGTGAGGGATTTTAGGGCACAGCTGCCCGCAAGATCCTGCGACTTTGATTACGGACAAGATGGTTTCGGATTCCAATCATGTGTCATGTGGGGGGCTTGACGTTTTCGAATGCCTGGGAGTGAGATAGGGCAGAGAGCAGGGGGGTTTAGGAGGGGCTTCGGGGGCTTGGAGGGGTTGGGGGGTTTAGGGTTTAGGTTTAGGGGTTTAGGGTTTAGGGTTTAGTGTTTAAGGGTTTAGGGTTTAGGGTTGGGGGGTTCAGGGGTTTGGAGGCCAACAGGCAGGTTGCCCGTCTTCATGGTCTTTCCTGCTGCTCTTGGCTGTCTTCTTCGCTGCTCGTTTGATACCCTGCCCCACCACCCGTTTCTCCGTGTGAGGTACTGCCCTTGCAGCTACTTGCACCTGCTTGTTCCACCGGCTGGTTCCACTCACTTGTGATAGGAAGGAGTAATGACGAAGTGGGGTCGCTAGTTGTGTTGACCCTGCTATATTTGCCAGGTACTTGGAGGATCCTCATCGTGAAGACCCCAAGCACGAACCAGACTTTTGAAGAAGCCCTTCTACTATCAGACTATCCCAATCCTGCCTTGTGGTCAGACTCTAACCCAGAGACTCCCATATACCTTAATTAAGGAATATTCTGAACGTCATATTCGGGATCCTACTATAATTCACGGTCTATTCCACAATTAAGGCATATTGGAGCCTTAGGCTTAGATCCGGAATACCCAACCTTTACACTTTTTTGGGTTCTTGTAGTTTAGTAGGAATCGGAAAGCGTAACCTTTCAATTCTGTGGCTATTGGGGTAGTAAGGGGCACCCTGAACCCTGCAACCCCAAGCCCTTTTCAGGCTTCTATACACTATCTGCCTTCTAGAACCCTTTAAGGGCCCCTTTGAGGAACGCTTAGTAGTAAGCTTACCCCCAAAACCCATAGAGAACCCTTAATAGTAAGGATTAGAGATCCTTGAAAGGAACCTTTTAAGAGAACTCTATCGAACCCTTTAAGGATCCCTTTAAGGAACCCTTGTAAGGGGAACCCTGAACCCTGCAGGATCGGATTTGGATTTGGCAGCGCTACGGTACGGCGTACCACGCCATGTATACCCTCTTCGAGGCGGAGCGAGTCGGTGAGGGTTTTGGGTTTGGGGAACCCCAAAGACTCCAATGTCCTTTAATTAGGGAATACTTCTTAAATTATATTAGGGGTCCTACTATAATTTAGGGTATATTCCTTAATCAAAGGATATTGGAATCTCTGGGATATTTTGGGTTCCAGGTTAAGGGGTTTAGGCTTTTGGGATGAATTTGTGTTCCAGGGTTTAATGCCTCAGTGTGTCAGAAACGTTTGCGTCTGGTGGGGGGAGAGAAATTTGTAACAGCTTTTGGTCCTGTTCACGTGTCACACAGGATGCGACGGTTGCCTCCCAGAGACCAAACTATTGGTTACTTGTAGTGGCTTGAATAAAGAATAGCAGCAACAGTATCCCCAAAATCTTTCAGGTTCGCCATAACTTAGATCCCCCAATACCCAACCTTTAACTAAACTTTTTGGTTTCGTGCGGTTTACTAGGAACCGGAAAGTTTAAACTTTCAATTCTGTGGCTTATTGGGGTTGTGGGATGAGACTGATCTAGCTGTCATGGCACCATCGAAGCGACTTTCATCTCGGAACCCTATGCCAGTTTCAGCACTGGCGCAGAATTGAGCTCTATCCCGTAATGGAACTGCAGAAGTAGACAAAACTGCAAGTACAACAGTGTGTACAACCTTAGTTAAGCTTTAAGCTAGGACCAACAGCGACGTCCGAAACGAAAGGAGGAACGACAACAGCAGGATTGCCAGCAACCGCCACTTGAGCGACACCCTTGAACTGAAAAGTTCCCGAAAAATCTTACGCTAGATCATTATGTGGGGGTTTCCGAAAATTGGGGACCCTAATATAGTACCCTAAATAGTATAGGATCCTTATTATAAGGATCCCAAAACAAGGTACCCCGAATTTTCGGAAACTCCCATGTGGCACGGGCCGCTGAACTGATCACAGTGCCTGGGCGGCCAAGAACATTGAGACCATCACCACGGTTGATGATATAAATCCTGCATTACCCATAATAAGGAATATGCCATAATTCCCATAGTTTAGCGTCCTTTGGGTAATGCAGGATTTATATCATCAACAGCAGCACCAATGGTGCCTCCAACAAGCCAACAAGAAGCACACAACGTCAACAGCGGTAGTCACAAATCAGAGCAACAGACCCGGAACCGGCAACAAGGCCAAGAGAAGTCATGCTACCAACACCAATCAATCCACCATCACCAACAACAGCAGCGCCGCGTAACGACCTGCATGTCGTTTGTCATCCATTGCATGTGTCCCCAAACCCTAAGTCCTAAACCCAAAGCCGTGTAAACCTTTCCTGTGTTGACTGCAACTTCAAGGGCATCAACACTACAACCACATCATCTTGTAAACCAGGTCACATTTGCTGGCAACTGGCCCACGAATGCAACTCGGCATCGGGTTTTTTTCATCCCCTAAACCCTAAACCCCTGAACCCTGAACCACTACACCCTAAACCCTGAACTCCTGAACCCTAAACCCCTGAACCCTAAACCCCTAAACCCTAAGCCCCTAAACCCTAAACCCCTAAACCCTGAACCCACACCTACACCCTAAACCCCTGAACCCTGAACCCCTACACTAAAGTGATCCCTGCCGTTGAGATGGCTACCTCGCCGTTTCTGGGCTCAGCTGCTCGCGTCTAGGTTGCTCCTATGCTCCTTCTTCTTCTTAGAAGGTCATGGGACTTAGTAACCTGGGTTACGAGCTATAATAAGTAAGGTAACTATACTTACAATTCTCCAACTGCGGTACTTATAGCCTTACTTACTAAACTAGGTCATAAGTTAAGGTAATCATACTTACCACTACTAGTTACAACTCCCACTGCGGTACTTATAGCCTTACTATGTCCCATGATCCTCTAAGTATAAGACCCTGGCACTGCTACAGTTGCCAACTGGAGAGCGGCTGCAGCTCTTCCACCACTGTTTCCAGCAATTCATGTTCAGATGTATCGTCGTCCATCACCATCACCGTTCAAATCGCAAGTTGCCATCACTAGAACTACTACTACCGCCACCATCTTCATAACAACCAGCCTTGTCATTAGCATCACCTGCCCCTGCTGCCAGCACCCCTCATCATAATCGCCGCGACAACCAATATCGGGGTCCCATCGCCAGCGTATGTGTCATGGTCATGGTCATGACCATCATCATCATCATCGTCATTGTCTTCATGCAGTATGGGTTGCTATAAGGGTACTATAGGGCAGAAGGGCTACCTTCTCGTTCGTCTGGTTGGCTCTTAGGACTTTAGCTTTTTGGGTTTCTATATATGGACTACAACAAGGGGGCAGCAAGTTTGATTTTTATGAGGGGTTCAGAAGTCAGCCAAGTAGGGGTTGCTAAACGGGATACTTCAAGGGTACCCTGAGCCAAAGCCAATAGTAGCAGGGTTACTGTAGGAACCTGATTAAGAAACCTTGGGCCCTTATTAGGGTTCCTTGTATGAACCCTACTATTTTGGGGTTATAGGCCCAGGTTTACTGAATCAGGTTCCCACATTAGGGTTCAGGTCGGGTTTAGTGTTGTAATAGCCGCTGGTCGTGATAAAGCTCGAAATGTGACACAGTGTTGCCTGTGTCCGCACAGGCGCGCCCGGTGCTGCAGCGTGTCAGCCAGACTTTCGTGATCTTCTTCGTGCTGCTTCCGCGGCTGCATTTATGAAGTGGCAGCGTAAACTCAGTTTCCTTCGGGCTCGTTCCCAGTCTCAGTTAGGCTCTTGCTATCTGGGAGTTTCCGAAAATAGGGGACCCTAATCTAGGACCCTAAATAGTAGGATCCTTTTTTATAAGGACCCCTAAAATAAGCTACCCCTAACTGTCGGAAACTCCCATCTAGGGACGTGGAATGGTGCTCGGATCCTCCCACCGAAAAGGGACGGTTCAGCCTGGGATTCGGTTTAGGGTTTAGGGGTTAAGGGTTTTGGGTTTAGGGTTTACTTAGGATTCTGGGTCTCTATGTCTAGTCGAGCCTTGCCTTTCCTTGGGCCTAGCTTTGTACCGTACAGCACCGTTTTTAGCAGAGTGCAGTATAACACGGTATGGCACAGCGCAGGACAGTATCGCATGAAAAGTGCAGCATCGAGAAGTTTAGCATGATGTGGTTGAGGTTGTTATAGTTAGTGTCTTATAGCATAGCATAGTATATATAGTGTCTTGGTACAGTATCGTAGTTTCTACGAAACCCTGAAACCTAAGCCCTAAAACCCTAAACCTTACTCTGGGGATACCAGAAGTTCGCGAAGCATCCATCCTGCGCCCTACAGTAGAAGGAATATCATTATCGTAACCCCTTTAAGGTAAATTATAGGGGATCCTACCATTAATCCATATTCCAACTTTCTGGAGTCCCCTTTATGTGATTTTAAACGCTTCGCGGCGTCCGCCTCGGCCCGGCTGTACTTGAAGCAGGTGCATTCACTACAACCTCCCATATCTTGGAAGGGGAATGGGGAATCAAACGAAGGATGTAAGCTAGCCTGTCCTGCCTCGCCGCAGTAGGCAGGAACACCAAGCCTCTCTCCCTCTTCATCCTGCAACTTTTCTTGGTCTTTGAGTTTGTGCAGCTGTGCTCCGCTTTGTGCATAGTTCAGCTTTCCGACCCACTCACCCCTTCTGCTGAGCAGCTTGGGAAGAGGGGGAGAACAAGGAAGCCTGTTGGCAGAGTTCTGCCTTGGACGGCTGTGTCCCGCATCTTGCAAGACAACAGTGACGCACCTGACGCACCTACATGTTGTGGATCACAGGCAGGATAAGATGGGTGAGAGGGGCCAGATTCAAGGTATCGCTAAACCAAAACGCCAAAACCGAACTTCCCAAGCACCTTGGATAGTTGCCCTACCGGCTCCCACCCTTTGGCTGGTGCTGGTTTGAGACCGTCCTACTGTGAATGGGGTCGTAACTCGCATGTCTTACATCACCACCCTACGTAAATCCTTGACCACAAACATCTCCGACCGTTCCGACAAGGTATATCTCCATCATCGTTTTCGCTTTGATCAGGGTGATAACGGCCATCTTCCTGAAAGACCGCTTCCGGAGTTGTTCCCTTGAAAGTCTGCTGTTGGTTTCGGGGTTCACAGTTAAGAGTTTTCGGCATCGCTTTGGGGGACGGAGACGGGTGAGCTTTAGGGAACATGCCATGGCAGGCAGGCGTTTGGAGTTGGGGGTTTGGACAGGATGTGCCTTTCCCAGAAAGCCACATGCACCGCAAATAACGAATGCAAACTATAAGTCATGTTAAGGACTTTTCTCTCAGGGGTACTTAGAAATGTTTTAAGTTTTGGTTACTAGAATCCTTAACAGCTACAGTGATATTTTTTCTAGGGGTCTAGGGTCAGTATAGTTCTATCATCCGAGGCATGTTTCATACTCATGCGGTGTGCAGCATAAGGAAGCACACAGAAGCCCAATAAAGTAGTAAATGCAAAGATAGCGGTAGCAAAGACCATTAGATCAACAAAGATAGCAGTTGCACCACCGATACCTCAAAGATAAGGACAACGACCAAGATAGTAACAACAGCAATGGGTATTGTTCGTTTTTCATCGGGTGGCTACAAGAGAGGGAATGGAACGTGGTAAGCAGTTTGCCGACACCCAATAAGACCTTGCGCCATCATGAAAAATCGGAGACAGGTGGCAAATGCAAATTTTGGTCGGATGCTTGTTTTTTTTGAGCTTGGCTTCGATCGCCAATACCCAACCTTTAACCTTTTTGGGTTCCTGTAGTGTACATAGTAGGAATCGGAAAGTATAACCTTTCAATTCTCTGGCTTTATTGGGGTAGCCGCATGAAAAGAACGTGGTCGATGGGTGCCTTTCTGCTTTTCGTGGCTTTGGGGTTCCCGGCTTTGTAGAGGGATACGGGAGCTTCCGAAAATTAGGGGTCCCTTATTTGGGGGTCCTGATAATAAGGATCCTACTATTTTGGGTACTATATTAGGGTGCCCCATTTTCGGAAACTCCTATACCGTGGAGAGCTTCTCGTCAGGTCTCAGCCCGAGATAGGAGTTTTTTGGGTTCCGGGTTCCAGGGTCTGGAAAGCTAGCTGCGTCGGGTTGTTCAGGGTTGAGTGTAACCCTAAACCCGTAAGCTTTTAAACGCCTAAACCCCCAAACCCGGAAACCTCCAAGCCCCTAGCTCCTAAACCCTTAGACCCCTAAACCTAAGAGAGTGCAACGCCCTGGTGGCGTGTATTTCTCGGTAATTTAGAGGTTTTCACACGAGTTTTTGCACCCAGAATATTAAGCGTTGTGTTGCCTCATCCAGGCATGCACCCTTGATTTTGAGTCTTGGGCATGTCACGAAGTAGGAGTTTGGTTGGGGAAGAGGGAGGAGGTTTGCCATCCAGCATCTCCATTGAAGTTGAGGTGCGTGATCTGGCATATCATGTCAAAATCATTAAGAATCCATCATAACCCCTGGGTGTCTATCCACATATGCATCTGGCTTTAATGGATGCGTGTTTATGGAAATGTGTATATTTACAGTGCATACGAATGCTGACCTGTAACTTATTGTATATATCATGTCTTCAACTAGGGATTGAAATTGTGGCGTGGGCTGCAGCATAAAAGCGACTATATTGACAGGCAGACCGTCATCGATGTGTATATACAACCGCATCTGAAGCCGTGGCTACACTTATAAAGCTCTGAGGGGTTTGCCACCTTTGAAGGTTTGCTACCCCGTCATCTACTATTGAAGCCTTGGATTGAGAGTGCAATATCTTCTAGTCTGCCTGTATTTGGGAAAACAGTCATCGATTTGAGGATCCAGTTGTGGTTCCGCCACTCATCGAACTTCTACGGGGGTTTGGCTCATTACATCCATGCGCAACACTGCGTTTCAGCCGAATGTCTTCCAGTAGAGTTTGGATGCTCTGGACACATGTCATCCTTTTCGGTACTCAGGTTCGCTACACACTATATATCTTTCGTGGATAAGTGTAGCCCGTGATATGTACTAAAGTGTTCAGACTCTGGTTTTTATTCTGGTGGTCTCCCAGCATCCCCTAATGTGATTTGCATTTCTGGCTGGGTGGGCCACACCTTTTAAGGATTAGCTTACGGTGTAATAGGGCATGTTAATCAGTTATTCTATTGAAGACCTGTTGTTCGCCATCATCCACCCACTTCCATGTAAATCCCAAAGACTATGTAATTACCCATTTCCGTGATGCACACAAAGTTATATGTGTGTGTATGCATGTATACATGTGTCATCCACCCATAATATGCTTGCAAGGTTCCAATTTACATCGTGTGTGCAACTGCATCGTGGCCTTGCGGTTACATACCCAGGTACTTGCATGTATATCGCAAAAAAACCTATCTATATGTGCATATTTATATAGAGATAGATTTATGCATATACATGTGTGTGCGCGTGCATGGGCTTCCAAAGTTCACGAACTTGTATATGGTTGCATAGGCTTCGAGAGTGCATGAACTTGTATACGTGCATATCTATGCATATATATATATGTACACACACATATATTACATGTATATGTAGATGTATATATGTACAGGTGTGGAGGACGTGCTTCCACACAGATTTGAAATTCCGCATCCTGTACCCACCATGCCCTTTCGGGGTTTGGGATCGGAGCCTGCGGCCCTCCATTTTCCTTTCAGTGCATGGCTGCCTAAATGCCTCATTGTTGCATACACATATGCTCGCTTATTTCAGAAATATTGCACATGTTTCCGTGATACTTAAATATGTACGTATATACCCGTGTATGTACATATGTATTAAGCATATATGTATGTGTGCATAAGGATGGGAAAAGCATGAACATGGAAACAGCATGAGCATGTGTGTATGTAAGCATACACATCCATATGCAGGTGTGTATGCATGCCTTCATGTCATATACCAACATGCATACACAGACGTGTATATAGATACATACATATATATGTTGGTACAAACACCTATATACCAAGGTTGGCTTCCAGGTAACTATATATGTTCCGCCTCAAATGTAACAAGGATTTTGTAGCTTGCAATTTTTACTGCATTGTCTAAGTTTCTGGGTGAGGGTCCAATATCTTCTACAGTCTAAGGTTTTGGGTTCGCCACCCAGCATCTCTTGAGACGGTTAGGACCATCATATGCATTTGGGTTCGAGGCCCAATAACTCCTTCTGAACTTGGGTCCCGGTACAAGGATCTTATTCCCATCATACTTTTACTGTGTAGAATGAATTACCCATCATACTTCTGTCACAGTTTTCAGGTGTTGGAGCCGCTTTCCTAGGTGGTGGACAACACTAGCAAGCGTAAAGTCTTGACAGAGGGATGTTTCATTGGACAGGACAGGATTGGTGGCATACTGGAAACCTTGAAATGATTGAGCAACGCTGGATTGGGAGTGCCAAAGGCCGAAGGCTCCAGGCATCCTCTGCTTACAGACATGCGCCCTCCGGATGGCCCCTGGGGGCCGGGCGCCAAAAAAAAAAAAAAAAAAAATTGGCCAGAGATTTTGCACACAAGATTTTTTTTTTCTTTTTTTTTTGGCGCCCCCCCCCCCCAGGGCTCCAGGGCTCCAGGCCTCCATACTCCAAGGCCTAGAGGCCTAGAGCCACACCTTAAGGCCATGCCCTTATGTCCTTGAAAGTTTGTCCCATAACTTTATCTCTCTCGGACCGGTGTTCGGTTATGCCCGAACATTTTCAAATGGTTTGGTGGAATTTGTTGTCAATTCAGAACACGTCGTAAAATGTTGTATGCTGCAAAAACAATGCTGAGGGAAACGAAGAGCTTGCTGAGCTTGCCATCTGAGAGTGCAAGTGAAAACATGAACACACGAAAAAGCACGCCACCAGGGCGTGATGTTCTGAAACCTAAACCCTTAGACCCCTAAACCTAAACCCTAAGATCCGAGACCCTAAACCGTAAAACCCTCCATCCAAACCCTAAACCTAAACCCTAAGATATGGGTGTCAAAATTATGGTCCCTTTTTGGGTACCCTAAACATTAGGTGCCTGATTAATTTAAGGACCCACAAAGGGACCATGATTTTGACAACCACCCATATGAGACCCTAAACCTAAACTCTAAGATATAAGACCCCAAACCCTAAACCACGTCCAAGAACTCCATAGAAAAGATGGAGGATGCGGCACAGGCCTCCACGACCCTGCGCCGTCTAGCGACTCTTCGGCCATGGGCGAAGTCATTCGCAGTGTTCAGCACAGCCTGGATGAGGGGGAAGAGATACTCAAGGTGGTGACAAGTCTGGCCTCGAACCTCCTCCCGGACATGCGCACGCAGATAGGGTTTAGGGTTTAGGGTTTAGGGTTTAGGGTTTAGGGACACAGCATGCAAGAGCGAAGATTCATGATGCTGGGGTCATCATGACGACAGCTGCAAGGGCAGAGGAAAGGTCACAGTTGGCTGCGACCTTGAGCTTCAGCAAGGATGCTCAAAACGGGCTGCAAGCCATTTCGGTTGAACAAAAGGAGCTCAAGGCGGGCGCGGCAGAGACCAAGCGTATGATCGCTAGGACCTATGGGGTTGAGGCCCTGTGCCCCCCAAACCCTAAACCGGTAGCCTCGCCTCATATGCCTCGCCTGGATTGTCCGAGTGTGTGAGCGCCGAAACCGGTAGCCGTAATCCCTGAAGAAAAGCCATAAACCCCAAATGCTTCGTTTGTCAGCACTGCTGCATGCCTTTCTGTCATCCTTGGGCAGAGCAGACGAAGGCCGTTACAAGAACGACAGCTAACCTAAACACCACAGCGAAAGAGCGGGAAGAGGCGTCGGTCTGATAGATCGGAATTCTGAAGTGAACTAGAGGTGTCATTTTGGTTTTTGCAGGGCCTTTTCGACATGATGGGGATGCCTGTTGTGGGTTTTCATATCTATATACTCGTAAGGAAACCCGTAGCACCCTGAACCCTAAAACCTACACCCATGGCACCTGTGCTTTTGCCTCCAGGATACTCTTGACGCGGCCCAGGCAGATGCGGAGAACTTAGTTGTCGACAGGTTGAGAAGCTTGTCACGAGTTTAGTCCCTAAGCCCTAAACCCGAAACCTTAGGCCTTAGACCGTGATTGAGGGCCAGGGCCCCAGGCCCCAGCCAAGAACCTACAGCCTCTTCTGCGGTTTCAAGACGCCAGGCGTCATGACGGCCCCTTCAGACTCCGAAGCCCCCATCACCTGAACTTTCACCCAAAAGCAAACTCGAAATTCTAAGCTTACCTTTGGTTAGTAGGGAATCGAGGAATGGGGTACAATTATAACTACTATTACTACCATTCGTCCATTCTTTACTAACCGAAGGTAAGTAAGCCCGAAACCCTAAACCCTAAACCCCTAAGCCCAGGAAAGAAGGCCGAGTATGTGAACAAGTTGCAGGCGGCATTTAACGCCATCGACAACAGCGGGAACGGAATGAGCCGTGACAGCTCTAGGGTTCCATGCGAGGTTTAGGGTTCAGCGTTAGGGTTTCGGGTTTAGGGTTTAGGGGTTTCGGGTTTAGAGGTTTAGGGTTTAGGGGTTTAGGGTTTAGGTTTGGGGTTTAGGGCTTTTTCCAGAAGGTCCCGTGTGGGTCTGTGGGGTCTGGGGGATGGGTACACGAGATGTAGGGTTTGCGATTTGGGTTTAGGGTTTAGGGTTTTAGGGTTTAGGGTTTTAGGGTTTAGGGTTTAGGGTTTTAGGGTTTAGGGTTTTAGGGTTTAGGGAAGGACTCCCTTAAGTTTTTTGTTGGTTGCGTTCTGCCGTGTCGTGATGTGGGGCTTTGCGGTTCCGGGGAGGACTTGGTAAGAAAGCCCTAGCGGAGGCACGCGCTGAACCAAAGATGTTTCTTCGTGGCTCTGTGATTTTCATGAAGTGAATAGGTGCTAAGCCTTAAGCTAGGCATCCCCAGCTGCTGCATTTTGACGTTGGGCATTGAACAATGCTTTCGGGTCTGACCAGCTAGCCCCGCCCTCTAGTGGTGACCCTAAACCCTCAACCCTGAAAGGCCTAAACCCTACACCCTGAACCCGAAACCCTAAACCCTGAACCTTAACCCCTAAACCCTCAACCCGGAATCCACACAGCCCTTGACCCTGAACCTCACCTCTCTCTGCCAAGTCTGTCAAAAACCCCTCAGGATTTCTGAAGAGCAGTTGACCACCATCTTCAGCAACCCAAAGGCCTTGCTACTTATAGTGAACCCCAGAAAGTTGGAACATGGCTTTAGGAGGATTAGTGCTAGGATCCCTTATACTTTAATTTAAGGGCATGAGGATACTCATGTTCCAACTTTCTGGCTTCTACCGTAGAGGGTCCAGGTGTTGAGTTCATGCTTCAGGAGTAAGGGTGAAGGGTTCGACTTTCACAGGTTTGTCTAACCATTGATATTGGAGGAGCTAAGGAGCCAGGGATGATGATAATCCCTATTAAATAAGGAGCTAAAGAGCCAAGGGAACCCCCAAAACCACTGGTTAGTTGTGGTATAAAACTTACTTAGAGGATCATGGGGACGTGGTAACTAGGGTTATAAGTAAGGTACCTATACTTATAACTCCCAATTAAGGTACACATAGCCGTACTCACTAAGTCCCATGGTCCTCCAAGTAGAGGTTCAGGGTTTTGGGTTTGATCTTAGAAATTTTGTGCGAAAAGTTAGTCTTTCGAGATCTTTAGGGTGTGGGGCGCAGGGGTTTAGGGTTTTGGGTGTAATCTTAGGGATTTTGTGTGAGGGCTTAGTCTAGAGAGATCGTTCGGGTTTACAGTAGAAGCCAAAAAGTTGGAAACCCAATAGCCTCAATCCTTACGGGTGATGTATAGGGAATACCAGCACTATTTGGCCTTAATCCGGTTTCCAACTTTAAGGGGTTTACCGTACTTGGAGGATCATGGGACTTAGTCAGTAAGGTTATAAGGACCCTAATTGGGGTTATAAGTAGTTCTAAGTAGAGTTACCTTACTTATAACCCGAGTTACTAACTCCCATGATCCTCTAAGTAGGGGACAGGGGAAGGTCTCTCTCCTCGTTCGCTTCGGCCTCCTGTGAGGGAGAGGCTGCGGGTTTAGGGTGACGGTTTAGGATGGATGGATTTTAGGGTTTAGAGTTTAGGGTTTAGGGTTTAGGGTTAGGGTTTAGGGTTTAGGGTTTAGGGCTCGGGGCAAACCCCAAACATAGAACCTGAAATGGGGGTTTCCGAAAATAGGGGGCCCTATTTTAGTACCCTAAATAGTAGGATTCAGGGAGCCCACCCCCAATTTTCGGAAACTCCCACATACCTAGAACCCAAGCCTTGGACTTCATCACGATTCAGGGTTCTGAACCTCTGAGCCCTAAACCCAGAGACTCCGATATCCCGCAATTGCGGAATATTCCTTCAATCATATTCGGGATCCTAAAGGTACTTGATGTCAGGTGTCTTCCTCAAATAAGGAATCTGAATCTTTGGAGTCTCTGGGAACCCTTTTTGCTGAGGAGGGGCCCAAACCCTAAACCCTAAACTCTACACCCTAAACCCTAAACCCCCCATAGTCTAGGGACCCAGCAGTCCCAAAGCTTAGATCCTAAATCGAGTTTCCATGAGGGTGGTTGTCAAAATTATGGTCCCTTTTTGAGATCCCTAAATATTATGTGCCGTACTATAATAAGGACCCAAAAAGGGACCCTTAATTTTGACAACCACCCATGAGGTTCTTAATCGGATTTCAGGACGCCGCGAAGCCCTCGAAATCAGATCTTTGCTTGAAGGATGGTTTAGGGTTTGAAAGGGTTTAGGGTTCAAAAGGGTTTGGGGTTTAAACGGGTTTAGGGTTCAAAAGGTTTAGGGTTCAAAAGGGTTTAGGGTTTAGGGTTGAGGGTGGTTATAAGCAGGGTTATAGGTGCAGTAACCCCAGTCAGGGGACTCAGAACCCTACTTACAACGTACTACCAAGTTCCCTGAGCCTTCATTGAAGACTTAAACTGGGCTTTGGAGTACCATACTTTCACACTCTTTTCTTGAAGGAACCATTATGAAATAAAAATTCACTGTTTCTGAAGGAACCATTATGAAATAAAAAACTCATTGTTTTTTGAAGGAGCCATTATGAAATAACAGTGTATACTTTTTTCTCCCTGGTTACTTAAAAGTTCAGAACGTGTAAAAGTTTACTTAAAAGCTCAGTGAATCAAGTAGACGGCACCCGGTGAGGTCGAGGCGTACTTTCAGACGCTGGACGTGGATGTCACAGAAGGAGCGCTCACGTTGGTTCTCATATGGCCTCAATAGTTCGATGCCCTAAACCCTAAACCCGAAACCCGAAACCCTAAACCCTAAACCCTAAACCCTAAACCCCTAAACCCCTAAACCCTAAACCCCTAAATCCTAAACCCTTTTAGGGTCGCCATAAGGGCGACTGTAAGGTTCCAGAAAGTAGGGGCTCAGACAATCAGAATAGGGTTTTCAAGCAGAGGATGCGAAAAATATGTACGTAGGGACCACAAGAGGACATCATCACGAACTAGTCTGGCGTTTATAGAGCTTTGAGGGTTTAGGGGTTAAGGTATGTCAGAGTTTAGTAGGCCTTTCAGCGGTTATCTGGCGATTTCACATCAGGTGCGAAAGAGTTTGTCTGGATCGCGAGCCAGCGTTTAGGGGAAAGGGTTTAGGGTTGTGAGTCATGTAATCGACAGGTGTGAAAGCGTGCTCAATTGACAGCGCATACAAAGCCTAGTAGTCAAAGCTAGCTGCTGTTGTCCTAGGCAGAGGAGACCATCAGGTTTGACTGCGAGTGACCGACCGCAGGGCGCCCTTCTTTGGGCCAAGGGCCAAGGCTCAAACGGGAAAACGACTGGTTGTCACACTGGTAGCGGAGCCAGTGCCCGAATCCGGGCCAGCGCTCGTTTTCACTTAGTTCGCCCTCTGCGGCGATTTCCCCTCCTCGCAGCCATGGCAGCTGAAGGGGATTGCATTACAACCCCAAGCACGATGATGGACCCGAGCTGACTAAAGCCGGATTCCTGGTCTATAGTGGTTCCGTGCAGGACTACTATGAATGGGAATTCCGCGCGATGGCAAAGCTCCACGCGACGCAAGACGAAGAACGGTTTTCGCTCGGCGCAAAGCTTCTAGAGTCACTCAGAGGCGATGCTTACATAGTTGCCCAAGATTTGGGGCATGCTGTGTTGAAGAAAGAAAAACGCTATCGAGGTGATCATCGAAGCGGTGAGAAAGCGAATATTTCCTTGGCAGGCTCAAGAAGCCAAGGCTGAGCCGCAAAAGAGCGCACGGTGCTGTCAAGTAAGTAGCTGGTTCAAGCTGGTTCAAGGACCGACAATGCATTTATTTGTACGGGTTGGCATGTTGTGTTCTCTAAGCTAGGGCCCATTTCAGGCATCCGATCTGGTTACGACATAACCTTCATCGAGACCCGGATGTTGGAGAATTGGGAGAACTGCCTGTATGTGTGGCTTGTGCGAAGGGTTGGGTGCCTGCCTGGTGTGTCTGTTGGGTTATGTATGATAAAGTTGCCACAATAAGCACACCATATCATTGACAATAGATCCCTATTATGGTATCTTAACTTAAATTCCATAGCAAGAACCCAGGTTGAGTGAGGTCACAGAGAAGCTTGATTAGGTTTGGTCCCATGTTCTGTTAGAAAATTTAAAGATTACTTAGGTGTCGTCTTGCAGTATCGACCCCAGGATCTCAAATCAATGACCCTGGAAATTTACAGCCCGTGCCCCGCATAAGCGCCTGTTCTGCATTTTGCAGGCCACGCACTTTTCCACATGATCGACAACGGTGACGGCCAGGTGTGGGCACAGGATTCATGTGTCAGGTTGTGGAACAGGTGCCGTCTTGAAAAACCAGTTAAGTTTTGGCAGAGGCATAGAATGGTCTGCATAGCCCGTTGGAGTGATATCCCTTGATAGGTTGTAGGTCGCAGTATACCCCAAACATTATTGTAGTTACGAGGGCCCCTTATGTTTTTTCCGGTTGGCATACGGATTCCTGTCTCGGGCAGTGTGCCAGTTGGCTTACGGATTCCGGTTTCGGGCCATGTCAATTCAACTAAAACAGAGCCTTGCGAAACTTTCGGCTTACATCCTAACCTCAAATCTCAAACCTTAAACTCAAAACGCCAAACCCTAAACCCCTAAACCCTAAACGCAAAACCCGAAACCCCTAAACCCTAAACACAACTATCCTGAGCCTGAACCCTGGTAGTCTCAACCTTCAGGCTTCTAAACATTCACCAAGCACCAGACCGTGCGAGCGCCGAAGCTTCCGCCGTGAACTAAAACCGTTGTAGGGTTTAAGATTGGGTTCAGGTTTAGGGTTTAGGGTGTAGGGTTTAGGGTTCAGGGTTCAGGGTTTAGGGTTTAAGGTTCGGGGTTTAGGGTTTGGGGTTGAGCCCTTCAGGATTTAGGGGTCAGAGGAACTCCTACGTCCAAACCCTTTGACTTCAAAATCCTCAGCCACTGAGCTCCCAACTATGAACCTGCGACTATCGCGGAACGAAGGTCACACTCGACGAATTTATTGATGGAATTTTACGTTGCCGGGGGCCGGCAGCATGGTTGCACGTCAGGCTTTCAGATTTACATGGTTTTTTGTTGCAGCGGTTGATAAGACATGTGGGAGTTTCCGAAAATAGGGGACCCTAATACAGTACCCTCTATGGTAGGATCCTTATTATTAGGACCCCAAAATAAGGTACCCCTTATTTTCGGAAACTCCCATGTATGGTTTCGAGCATTGCTTCTTTAGTTCTCGGTTTCAGTGTTCAGACCGGGGTTTGGGAACTAAGTCTACGATCAGGAGCATGGTTTGTGATCATATTCCAAAATCTGTTTGCTTGACTTCTGGTGCTTATAGATGTTTTTTTGTGCAGTGATCGTCCATGTAGACCACACGCTGTACGTGTTGTAGTCCACTCCCTTAAACCACGGTGTGTTGTAGCACACTGTGTCCTACGGACTGGATACCTGGCTTTCAAGCTGTTCATTTCACACTAGTGTGCGCGATGTTCGGCCTTGTTTGACGAGGTCGTCGCGCATTGTATTTGCTCCAGCATTCCGTCTTGCACCACTGCGCGTTTTGATGATTCACCTTACCATAAGAATGGGCTTCGCGGTGAGGTGAGGTTGTTGGGATGAAGGCATTGCCTCATGCGTTTGCACTCAGAGCACTGAGAAGCCTGCATTCGGCATCAATCTCACTACCCTGTCACACCTTAACCCTGTAAACCCCTATAGAACTGCATAAGCACTTTTGAGACTAGCGTGCATCTGCTGCACGGGGTCGGCTAGGCATACTCTGGGATGCCGCCGGTTAGGAAAGATGATTTGAACCAGAGAGCCAGTATTGGGGACCCAAAAAGCACATAAGCATAAGCATTTTATGGGGATATCCCTACCTTATTGGGCTTCATTATAAGGGGATTTATATGGGATATCCCTATCCTAATTTTTGCTTATGTGCTTTTTGGGGGCCCTGCAGTAGGGCTTCGGTAAAAGGACCGCAGTAGTGCAGTGCGTCAGAAGGGAGCAGCATAACTAGCATAAATGTTCCAAAACAGAGCCATCTTACTCAACAAGAAGGGGCATTCTAAACCCATTGAGGTCAGCGATGCGTTGGGTTTTAGCCCTGAACCACAAACCCCTCCACCCTAAGCCACCAATTCCTTAAGAAGATACGGGTTCAGGGTTTAGGGTTCAATGTTTTTAACTAAACCGAACTGACACTTGAGGCACGCGCCCTCGATCAGGTGGCCATGCGTGCAGACCTGAAGAACCCCGGCCCTGGTTCCGGGGTTCCGTACTTGGAGGATCATGGGACTTAGTAAGTAAGATTATAAGTACCTTAATTGGGGTTATAAGTATAGTTACCTTACTTATAACCTTAGTTACTAAGTCCCATGATCCTCTAAGTACTATACTTGGCGTTCTTCTGGTTGGCTATTAGGACTTTAACTTTTTGGGTCTCTATATGGACTATAATAAGGGGGCTGAAAGTTTGACTTTCAGGAGGGGTTCAGAAGTCAGCCTATTATAGGGGCCTTAATAATGACCTATACTATTTTGGGGCTTCCTCAATATAAGTATGGTGTAATGGGCCCCGAAACCCTATTCTAATCATTAAGGCCCACGCTTTCTTCTTTGTGGGGCTCACTACTTCGAGGATGGGACTTAGTAAGTCAGGTTATAAGTACCTTAATTGGGGTTAGAAGTAGTGAGAAGTATAGTTACCTTACTTATAACCCAAGTTACTAAGTCCCATGATCCTTTCTGTAGGCTTTTCAAGGTATGTCAGCGATCACAACAGCGCCCCAGGGTTTAGTGTTTGGGAGTTAGGGTTTAGAATGTACCTGGAGGAACCCAGGTACCGTAAAAAAGGCAACTGTACCATGTTCTAACGGTCATATTCCTTTTTCGGTACACTGGTCACTTCAGACTTCAGGCGGGGTTTTGGGGTTTTAAGTTTGCACCGGGCTTTGCAAAGGTTTCTGACGGATATTGCGCATTCTTGTAGGGCAAAAGTGGTTTTATAAGTATTCAGGCCCCAAACCCTAAACCCTAAGCCCTAAACCCTGAACCCTAAACCCAATTTCAATTCGGAAAAAGGCGTTCAAAAAAACAAACCTAAACCCCTAAACCCTAAAAACTCTAAGCCCTAAACCCCAGCCGAGATCCTGAGCCCTTCAGGTTAGTTAGTTCCCAAGACTCGCAAAATCCTTGCCCTGAATCCAAAAGCAAGGTCCAGACCGGGATTGATCCAGATACTTTACTTAGGGGTACTTAGACATGATTTTTAGTTTTTTGTTACTATAATCCCTAAGAAACAGCTAAAATCATGTCTTTTGCTAGGGTTCTAAGTTCAGTATAGTATATTGCCTTAGTAATTACCTATGCTATTTTGGGGGTTCCTTATTAGAATTATAGTATAGTGGGCCCTAAAACCCTATTCTAGTTATTAAGGCCCCTATAATCCCTTATAATAGCCCTTATAGCAGCCCTTATAGTAGCCCTTATAGAGACCTTTAAAGGAACCCTACTCTAATGACTAAGGCCCCTATACTATCTTCCCGAGCCCGAAGCCCTAGGCCCCAAGCCCGAGAGGCCCGAATCCTTCATCCGCGAGCCTCAAAGATATCTCTATAGTCTCCTTAGGAATCATTTTTGTTTGTGTTCATATAAATATAAAACCCAAGACAATATGAAGCATATTATGTTTATTATGGTTCTAAAGGGGGTATAGCTCTCCCCAGCCCCATATGGGAGTTTCCGATAAGGGGTACCTTAATCTGGGGTGTTTATAATAAGGATCCTACCATTTGGGGTACTACATTAGCGTCCCCCAGTTTCAGAAACCCCCATACCCCAAACCCCAAACTCAAACCCCCAACCCCCGCCAAGCTCTAAGCCCTAAGCCCGAAGCCCCAAATCCCAAACCTGTAAACGACAACCTAACCCCAAACTTGAAACCTTCTACGACAACCCAAACCCTGAACCCCACCAAACCAAACCTTCAACCCGAGACCCCCCCTAAACCCTAAACCCCAAGCCCTCAACCCCAAACCCTCAACCCCAAACTTAGATTCTGTTTTGGGTTCTTGTAGTTTAGTAGGAATCCGAAAGTTTAACCTTTCAATTCTGTGGCTTATTGGGGTAAGCTTACCCCAAAACTCATATAGAACCCTTAATAGTAAGCCCTATATATCCCTTAAACGAACCCTTTAAAGGGACTCTAAACGGGCAACCCCTAAACCTTCAAGGCTTATTGGGGTAGTGCAACCCTGAACCGTAAACCCTCCAAAGATATCTCCTGGAGCTCTAAGGAACCCTTTAGAATAACCCTATAGAACCCTTTAACGATCCCTTTAAGGAGCCCTTTATGGAACCCTAAGCCCTGCAAAGATATCTCCGGGAGCGCTGAGGAGCCTCGACTCCAAGCTTTCCCAGCTTGTGGAAAAAGTCACAGGCCAGGTCCCGAGCTGCCACCGCTTAGTCTTAGTCTAGTTACTATAGTCTCCTTAGGATTTCTTTTCTTTTATTTTTGTTCCATACAAAACCAGAGAGAATTTTAAGAAATAGCATTTTTATTAGGGTTCTAAGGGGGGTATAGATCAATAGACGAGAATAGAACGGGACAAACCTTGGCGTTCTTCTGGTTGACTCTTAGGACTATAAGGAGGCTACAAGTTTAACTTTCAGAAAGGTCCAGAAGTCAGCCAAGATATGACATACTTTCGTACGATAGCTTGCATGAATCTATTGAAATGAAACATAGTACAGGATAAAGTAAAAGCCAGAAAGTTGGAATATGATTATCCTAAACCCTTTATGGTAAATTATAGGGTATCCTACCCTGAAACCATATTCCAACTTTATGGAGTTCCCTGTAATACAATCCGGGGTTTGGAGCGCCATACTGTTCTAGTTGTTTTGACTTGTTCCATAAAGGAGCACGTATGAAATAGACGTGTGCGTTTTTCTGCTAGGTAACCTGAAACTTGAAAGCCCAGATAATTTAGTATAACCGAATCTCAGATAATACAAAAGTTCTACTGCAATACAACAGAATACAAATACATTTTAGTACAAAATAAAATGGCACAAGAGCTTGTTTTGCATAGCGTCTATGGTAGGGTTCTAGACGGGTTTTATAGGGGCGTTTATGCTGCTTGCAGGGTTGTCGCAGGGGCTTTATAAAGAAGGGTGTTCCACGAGTTTTGCAGGATTTCACGCGGGTCTTGTCGATTTTGTATAAGGGTTCATAAGGGTGCTATGGCTATACGTAGAGATAGTATATGGTGTGTTGTGGAGTTTTACCGAGGTTTCACAAGGTTTTTTCTTGCAATGACTTAATTAAGTACAGTTAATATCGTTAATCTTTGTATTCGCCATGTATGGATAAGAAAAAACATTGGAAAAGGAATTCGTATAAAGGCCCCTACGTCAGTGTTCCCGCTTCTGATTTCATTCCCGAGGCGGTTGCAGAGTTGGCGTACCCCGACAGCCTTAGACGCAACATTCGGAAAGGCAACGTGTTGCAAACCTGAACCGTAAACCCCAAACACTACCAACCTAATGCTCTAAGCCCCCTCAGCCCCGCAACCGCAACCAATAAAAGCCCTGGAAAAAATCCCTGATCTCAAAGCCCGGAAACCCTCCTACAAACACCTAAACTCCCCCCAACGGGTTTATTTGGGTTTTGGGTTTTAGGGGAGTAGGATTTGGGGATAAGGAACTTGGGTGTAGCATGTAGAGGACGCTTCGGAAAGGGTTTAGGAAGATTTGGTTGGGTTTAGGGTTTAGGGTTTAGGGTTTAGGAAGATTTGGTTGGGCCTCTCTATAGACATCTCAATAAGCACAAGAGCAGAAATTCGGGGTCTACTGCAATATGGGGGCACTTGGGTTCCTCAGCCGGGTTAAGGGCTTGGGGTTTTGAGGTTTAAGCTGTTTAGGTTTAGGGTACACGGTATAGGGTGTGGGTTTGGAAGGTCTACTGCAGTATGATGATTACATTGAGGCTTCAGGTCGTTACATTGAGGCTTGAGGTCGTGTCGGCTTCGGTTTCCTTCGGGAAGCAAAAAAAGCCTTTAACGCTTAACCCAAAATCCGAAACAACACCCGAACTTCGGAGGAACCAAAGCCCCTGAAACCCTGCATATCCTGTAAGCCCGATAAACCCTATAAGCCCTACAAACCCTAAACCCTATACTCTAAACCCTCAACGCTATACCCTAAACCCTAAACCTTGAACCTGATTGAGGAACCAAAGTGCCCCGAAAGAGCACCGTGAACATTGCGCACAACTTCCGGTCGATGGAGGTGCCACCGGCTTTTGGTGTTCCTTTTCAAGGATGCCTTTACGGGTTCCTATTAATGGTTCCTTTTTAGGGTTTTGGGTTTTGAGGTTTTGGGGTTCCGAGTCAAGGGTTTAGAGTTTAGTTTAGGGGTTTGGGGTTTAGATTTCAGGGTTTGGGGTATAGTGTCTAGGTTTGGGGTTTAGGGCTTTTTGGCTTCTAGGGTTTAGGGTTTGAGTGCGAGAGAGGGCAAAAGTCCCAATAAGCTTAGAGGTGTCGAAAGCTCGACAATCGTGGTCTTCAAGGGTCTTGGGCTATGTGACTATTTCAGGGCTTCGGGTTCGGATCCTTTTGTTCATGGGATTTCGTGTTCAGAATTTTGGAAGGTTTAGGATTACGTGGTTGAGGCTTGTAAGGTTTGAGCCGTCTGCCGTCTGTCTAGGCCTCTAGGCTTGGAGTTGTTCATGACCTGGTATGCAGATCCGTGCGAGTTTGAAACCTAAGCCCAAAACCCCAAAACCCTAAACCTCAGGATGACTTGAACCCTGAACCTCAAATCCTCAGTCTCGAAACCCCTTGATCCGAAACCCCAAACCTCAAACCCTAAACCTAAACCCAATGTGGGTTCGGTGGGTCTGAGAGTTTGAGCTGCTACGGTGGAGAACCGCTTCTAACCTATTCTAATTATCAAAGCCCCTATATCCCAGAGTCTCTTATACTACCGTTATGGTATGCCTTAAAGGAGCCCTTTAAAGGAACCCTTTAAGGGTCAAAAGGTAGACCGGCTGAATGCTTTTGGCTTCCAGTGACCTTGAATGATTAGGTATTAGGTATACCGTCTCCTTTGTAGACCCCCAAAAAAGTTTTGACTCAGCATAACATACCACAGGACATTCTAACCGTGCATTAGCAAGCCCCTCGCAGGAACGACCCTGAAAGACCACAACTAAACCCGGCATAGGGAATCTTTTTCTCTTCTATGTTAAACCATTACGAGCAAGGTTTCCAGCCACAGCGAGAGACACCGGTGTAAGAACCTTGTCAGGAAGCGCCATTCTTCAGTCTTGTCTGGTACGCTCGGGCGGGAAACCTCCGACCCTTTGATTCCCAAAACCCTCTTGAAGGACTCCTCTACCCTACAAACTATGAACTCTCACTCGCAATCCTAAAAACCCTTTAAACCCTAAACCCTTTGGTACTCTTTCTTGCAAGGTGGCTAGCACCGCACATCAACATGTCTTCTGATGGCTTCTTTCAGATCCCCGAACGGGGAATCTGCTACATGTCCGTCTCATAGGAAGCCAAAAGGCGTCTTAGCAGAATGGTTTGGGGCTGAGGGTTTAGGGCTTAAGGCTTAGCAGCTTTAGCCAATGAGTTGGTAACAGGGATCAGCGTAGGGTGTCCGTAACCTTCAAAGTTGGCCATATGGAGGAGTCACAAATTCAACCATCTCGAATGCCCCTTTTGGCTTCTAATTACGTACTCGCTTTCTTAAAGAGAGGAGAGGGCTGTCGGCATTTTGGTTGTGCACTTATGATCAGCACACTGTCTACCAAAGGTAAAAACGAAGCCCACATGTACTATTAACAAGTAGGTGTCCCCTAAACCCTAAACCCGTGTTCCACACCCACGACGTATTCCCAAATCCTGGGCCTCAAGCCCTACAATCAGACGCTACCGAGCCCCGAATCCAGGACATCGGTCAAGATAACACGTACTTAAAGGAGCGTGGGACTTAGCAAGTAAGGTTATAAGTGCCTTAACTGGGTTTACAAGTATAGTTACCTTATTTATAACCCTAGGTAAGCCTTGTCGTGATAGTCATCTTCATGCCAGTAGAACTAGCACTAGCCTTCATTGTAGTAGCGATGGTAAAGGCTATCAGACAGGTAGTCGCTGCACCCACTTGTGAGTTTGCAACACCAAGAAGCGCTTGGGTCGCCACTTCCTTGATGTTAACCAAAAGTTCCATCTCCTGGAGTGACTTCAACATGCACAAAGCCCGAATGGCCCTCTCTGATTTTGTTTTGAGCTTCCCTGTTTGGCTTTGGACCGATATCATGAGACCAAGAAGATAGGTCCCAGAGCTGAGATTGCAGCAGAGCCATTCGTACAAGTATCCGCCCAAACCCTAAACCCCTACACACCTAAACCCTAAACCCCTACACCCTAAACCCCTAAACCCTTAAACCCCTAAACCCCTAAACCCTAACCCCTTAAACCCTGAACCGGGGCCCCGAAAGCCCTACATCAAAGTCTCATGCCCCAGACCTGTTGATTTGGGAGTTTCCGAAAATAGGGGGTACCTTATTTCAAGGGTACTATATTAGGGTCCCCCATTTTCGGAAACTCCCATTTGTTGAAGGGTGTAGTGGCTCAGGCGTTTTTGAGGTGCTAGGGATCGAAAGATGGGGTGGAATCGGCTGGAACGGTTTAGGGTTCAGGGTTTAGCCAAATTCTGGATCATCCTCAAGTCGGGGCTTGAAAGAGCTCCTCACATAAAACCCTAAACCGTGCTTGGAGGATCATGGGACTTAGTAACTAGGGTTATAAGTAAGGTAACTATACTTATCGCCCCAATTTAGGTACTTATAACCCTACTTACTAAGTCCCATGATCCTTTAAGTAGACCTTCAACCGTAGCTCTGCATCCGTCCGGCAAGTTGGGCCCAGAGCTGTCAACGGGGCAGTTCCCTGACAGTGATGATGCAAGGGGGCGGAAGGCGAAAGCCCCCCTGGTTGCAGGGATAAGGATGTTGGCCTTAGTTTGTCGGGTTTAGGGCTAGGTACATCAAAACTTGCACTCTGGTCTCATCAAGGCCCGTGGCATACTTTATTTTGGGCCCTGATAATAAGGATCCTACTATTGAGGGTACTATATAAGGGTCCCTTATTTTCTTAAACTGCCATAAAGGCGCTCGGCGCACGGAACCGGACATGAACACCCGTTCCATTGCTGGTGCGGCAGGTCCATCTTCTCCCTTCGCAATAAATCCTTTTAACGCTTCTTCGGGCATGGGGCACCTCCGAGCCTGCAGTGTCTTCACCCATCCAGGCCCGATGCATCCCGATGCAAAAGGGCCCAGGGCCCGATGAGATCACTTCGGTTTGAAATCCTGCCGTTTCCACACCCTAGACCTAGAGGTTTAGGGTTTAGGGTTTAGGGTTTAGGGTTTAGGGGTTTAGGGTTTAGGGTTTAGGGGTTTAGGGTTTAGGGTTTAGTACTGGGGCCTAAACCCTATTCCCTGTGATCCTTGGCTCAAGGCTAGCCCCCAGCGCATTTAGATGGATGTGCCTAAAACGGCCTCTGATGCCCTGCTTGAAGGATCATGGGACTTAGGAACTAGGGTGATAAGTAAACTAACTAACTATACCTATAACTACTTACAGTCGAAGCCTAAAGGTTGGAAACCCAATAGCCTCAATCCTGAAGAGCCAAGAACCAGGAATCCCAGCACTATTTGGCCTTCATCCGGTTTCCAACTTTGTGGGGTTTACTGCACGACCCCAAGTACTAAGTCTCGTGATCCTCTAAGTTCATTGAGACCCGACACGTAGCGGCAAGCGCGGATAAAATGATCCCGACACATTTCAGGTGCAGAGTCCTCCGATCTGGAGAAGGTGTAGCACTGCTACATGGGCAGAAATCATGACTACCACTAGTCCTGAGGGTTCGTCGTTGTAGCTAGAGCCTATATAACATCCTGCACAACGCAATTCTAATCATCAAGAGCTCCATATATTTGCATGGGCAGGAAATCCCAACCCCTGCGCCGCTGCGCGTTCCCAGCAAGGCTACGATTTCATCTTTTCTGCTGGTGGGACCATGCCCTCGGCTCAGCCCTGCCTAGGGGCTTGAATACTGTGCTATACTTTTTGTGGGTTCCTTATTATAATCATAGTATAGTATACACCAAAACCTATTCTAAATATTAAGGCCAATACTGTATATTATGGGTATTGGATGGGCTTGGTTGAGGCTTTTCGAGTGATTGACTTTTTCTTTGATCACGGGACGTCTTCATGAAGGCCTTTGGTCTTCTCTCATTTAGGTTTCGATTTCGTCGAGGATGTGGATAATTTTCGGGCTTGGTTATACGCTTTTGCTTTGGGAGTTTAGGGTTCGGAGTTTAGGCTCCGTCATTGCACAATACAGCCTACACTTTAAACCCCCCAAGTCCTCAGCCTTAAGCCCAAACCCTAAACCCGAAACCCTAAGTCCCAAACCCCAACCCTAATCCCCAATTCCTAACCAAACCCTAAACTTGAGACCCTCAACCCTCGGGTCGGTAATATGGTTGTCGGAATAAGGTCCCCGTAAGGGATCCTTCAAGGGTTCGTTTCAGGGAACTATAAGGGTCCCCATAAGGGATCCTTTAAGGGCTCCTCTCAGGATCCCTAAGTTTAGGGTTTTTCAGGTTTAGGGTCCCTTTAGCTTATATCCCCAATACTCAACCTTTAAACTTTTGGGTTCTTGTAGCTTAGTAGGAATCGGAAAGTTTAACCTTTCAATTCTGTGGCTTATTGGGGTAGTAAGTATCGGGATCGGAATACAAACTCATGCTAACCACTTGGGTGGTTGTCAAAATTAAGGTCTCCTTTTGGGTCCTTATTTTAGTACGGCATCTAAAATTTTTAGGGTACCCAAAAAGGGATCCTAATTTTGACAACTAACCACTTATGGTTCTAGTTTTACTTACTAGACTATACCACACTACATCGCCGTGCTATACTATACTACCCCAAGGATCCAATTACCCAATAATCATATACTCTCCCAAATCCTAACCTACATCACTATCCTGAAACCGAGTACCTAATTATTGGGTCCTTTGGACCCTTGGGGCTATGCCTATACCACACAACCCTATTCGTGTCTGGAAAGTCCGTCTGAGCTGGAAAGCCCAGAATGACCTCCGTGGAAAGCTCTTAACCTAGTAGAGTAGGTAGGGTAGTACAGTCCCTAAATAATCCCTATATACCCAAAAAGGTTGTCCTTTACTTACCCAAGTGGGTTAACACAGGGGCCTTAAAAATTAGAATAGCTTCTTCGGGCCCACTATGCTATCATTATAATATGGAATCCCCAAAATAGCATTGGCAACTATTTCGACCCCTATAGTATGCAGGAGCTTGGTGTTCGTTGAGAGCCCTAAAACCTTACACGTACAGCCTAACTACGCCTTAAAACCAAACCCCAAAACCCCAGACTCTAAACCCCTAACACCCGGGGGACTTGTTACATGATCCAGACTTTCGATGATAAATTACTTGAAGGATCAAGTGACCGGCAGGGAGTTTATAAGTGAGGAGACAAGTGCTGTAGCCTTAGTTCGAAGACTTTTTGCTAGGGTTTAGTGTTCAGGGCAGGGTAGTAGCTGTGACCACTAAACCCCCAATCAAAACTCCTAAGGTTCGAAACCCTAAACCCTAAATCCTAAGACCCGAAGTCCCAATCCCCGTTCGCGACCCGTCCATCGTCATCTGGCATGGCTTTGACTCAATCTGTTCACTTCTTATACATTGGTGTTATGCCACAGACGGGTATCATCTAATATCTTCATTTTTAGTATACTACTAGAACATGTGTTCACCATCTGTTTATCTGTCGGTCTGTCTATCGTTCTACCTGCATGTCTGTTTATCTATTATTCTATGTCTCCATCGAACTCTGCGTCTCTCTCTCTCTCTATATATGTCCTCCCTCTCTCTCTCTCTCTCTCTCTCTCTTGGAATATCTAGGCACTTTGGGTTTCGGGATAAATGCATTGAGTTTCGGGTTGGCGGCTGTGGGTTGGGAGGTGTAGCTCTTGCAGATTTTCAATGTTTATGTCGCTTGTTCGTCAAAGCCCTAGCCCTAAATGAGTGTTGCAGCTGACATGTTTGCAGCGCGGAACGCTCCCAGGCACAGTACCAAAGGCACCTTGGGAGGGTGTGGGAGTGGGAGGGCTTGGAGCATTGGATAACTTATTGTCTGAAAACTCAACTTTTCACCTTTCGGGGTTCTTATAAGGTACTCGATTCCGAAAGTTTCAACTTTTTTCCTTGGGTTTTGGGCCAGTGAGATACTGTAGAGCTGCACCCACTGTTGTTCTACTGGGTGAATGCCCGAAAGCCTTCGTAGTAATTATGGCGGCGCCAATGTTATTTGGACTTAGAGTTTAGAAACCCTAAACCCTAAACTCCACCAATACACCCGGGTAGAGTTCTCAAGCTCTCGACTCCTCCGGCTTCATGTAAGGCTTTCGAGGGCTTTGGTGCCATTGGTCTGGGGCATCCAGTTGTAGGGTGTACCTGTAGCATCAGGTGATCAGGGGACTCAAGTAGGGCGACCAAGGGGTTTCGAGTTTCGACTCAAGCAGGTTATATCCTAAAGCCCTAAACCCTAAAATCAAAGATCGATTAAACCCTAAAGCCTTAAAATTAAACATCGATTAAACCCTAAAGCCCTAAATCTAAAGATCCATTGAACCCTGAAGCCCTAAAGCCCTAAACCTTAACACTGAAACCCTAAACCCTATACCCATGAATGGTACGGTTATATAGGAGTTCCCGAAAAAAAGAAGGGTGCCGTATTTTGGGGTCCTTATAATAAGGGTCATACTATTTAGGGTATATACCCTGTTAGGGTCCCCTATTTTCGGAAACTCCCATATGTAGAATTACCCTGTCTGAGGCGAGCTATAGCCCTTTCATAACCTACTTGTTAAGTTTGGACACAGCTTCTTGTTCAGAGCCCTACGGCGAGCAAGAGAGCGACTAAGTCCGATGCATTCCACGGGACTGCAGTGGACGGACACCTTTCAGCATGTTTAGACCCTCCAGTATACCAGAACTAGGGTTTAGGGTTTAGGGTTAGCGGTATCTAGGAAGTTCCTGGAACGGGCCTAAACCCGAAACCCTAAGGTTTACGGTTTAGGGCTTGGATGTTGGAGTCGGCGTTTGGAGTTCGGGAGGCGGTCTGCCGCGTTGGTCTGCGTGCATGTCTACATCGCTGTCAGTGTGTACGTACCTCGTTCCTTGCCCTTAACTGGCCCTTCATAAGTTGCTGGACCTGCAAGAGCCATTCTGCGCACTCTATGTGTGCAACAGCATGTCATGCAGGATTGGTTGTGGACCAGTGTCCCGTTCTGGACATTTGCGGTATTCCTGGCGATCCCTGGATATCACCACAAAACCCGACTTCGTACTGACTCCACGTAGGGCCTTGGAGGCTAATCCATCAAGTGTAGTGCCAATACCCAAATTGGGAGTTTCAAGAACCCGAACACATCCCGTACATAATCGGATTCATTATATGAGCCTTGAAACCTCAAACCTAAACCCATCTAAACCTAGGATGCCCAGTACTACCCTTATTCCCTTTTTGTAGTCCTAGGTTCCTTATAAGGGTACCCAATACCACAAAGGGAGCCCTTTTTATTCCTACGTTACTGGGCATCTTAGAAACGATGCTCCCTAAAGCCTGGAAGCTTAAACTTTTCGAGATATCGTGCTCAGATCCCTTAACTTCTATCCAGACTGGCCGCCCCTTTCGAAATCCTGCAAAAGAGGGAGGAAGGTTTCGAGAGAGATCGAGAGAGAAGAGCCCTTAAGCTTCGCATGGCATTTTTGGCTGTTCCCTGGTTGGCTTCATGTCTGTCTGAACGCTTGGCCACCGGCTCCCAGCAGGCAGACCCTGGGCATACACGCAACCACACACACGGAGTCTTTTCATCATCGTCTGTCAGTCAGTTGTCTGGGTTCTTGTTAGGGGTTTTGGTTGAACTTCCGATGATTGCGATCTTTAGTAAATACTGTGGTTTCCATGGTTTCCTTTTTATGGTAATCCTGAACAAGAACCCAGTTGTGAAGTGAGCATGTCCGCAGATGGCCTCGAAGAGTGTCTCGGAATCCCATCTGAGTTTCCGGAAGACCAGTCAACTCCGGATTCATGCTCACAGACATCTCGAGCAGAAGCTGAAGCATCCTGGGTTCTTTTTCAGAAATTGACTTGACTTCCTCATGATCCAGAGATCTAGTACACAAGACGATTTGCTTGTTGTGGTAACTTAAACACTTCACCACAGGAATTTAGCATGCAGTTCTTGGTCGCGATGCGAGCCACCAGAGCAGAGATTGTCCGGGGGATACCTGTACATCGCTTCCTGCAGCGTGCGCCGCGGAAGTGGTCCAAGAACGACCTCAAGGGACTTTATGGGTTGCTGGGTTCCTTTAAGGGATCTATAAGGTTTCCTTTTAAGGGTTCTTCAGGGGTTTAGGGGTTAAGGGATCTAATTTAAGGGTTCCTCTATAAGGGATCTATAAGGGTTCCTTGAAGGGATATAGTGTTTAGGGTGTGTGCAGGGTTTAGGATTTAGTTTAAGTTGTCACAATAATGAAGCCATATTATTTGCTATAGATCCCTGTTATGGTAACTTAACTTTAATTCCTTAACAAGACCCCAGGTTGAGTGAGGTCACAGAGAAGCTTGATGAGTTTTGGTCCCACAGTTGGCGCACGAGGGCTTGGCTGAAGTACATCAATATACTGTACTTGCACAACAGTTTCTTGGCGTTCTTCTCGTTGGCTCTTGGACTTTAACGTGTTGGGTCTCTATATGGACTATAATAGGGAGGCTAAAAGTTTAACTTCTAGGAGGGATCCAGAAGTCAGCCAAGGTTTCCCTGCATTTGTTGCAGGCATGATCTGTGCCGTCGTCGCTCTGCTCCTATGCAGGGCTGGCATGTTGCCACTTTACATTGGGCAACGGATGGCAAGGTTCTGGTGCAGCACTGCTGGCATGGTGGGCTACTACCTGACTCTTCTGCTCTGGCATCGCAAGAAACGTGCTTTCCTTGACATTGCCTGCATCCACCAGACTGATCCCGTCTTGAAGGCAGAGGGCTTGATCAGCATGGGCGCTTTTCTCAAGAACTCGGAGTCGTTTCTGGTCCTCTGGGATACGACATACATTTCAAGGTGCGCTTATGTCTGCTAATAGTTACAGTCGGTGGACAATGTGGACATCACATGTCTTAATCCGCAAGCTCCATGTGAGCTGTGTGCCAGCCTTGCAAAGACTGCATGTGTCCAAGCTCGAAGCCCTAAGCCCCAAACTTAAACCCTAGACTCCAAGCCCCAAGCCGTGCGCAATAGATGCAGGCTTCTGGAAATACCTGCGCTGCTTGTTGCGCACGCTTTGCTCAGATACTACCACACTTCTGCACCAAAGGATAAGCCGAGCATCATTGCTGTATAGGCCTCAGTAGGATCGATGAAGCATCTTCTCACGAAAGAACCGACTTCAGGCTATGGTGCATGTTCGAGATGGCCGCATTCTTGCACAACATGGGGCTGGGTACACACAGGGACAAATTCCTCGTGGTCTGTCCGGTGTTCGTGGGCCCTGCGTTTCTACTGGGCCAACTCGGCCTCAATGTTGTGGTGCTCGCCTTTCTGGTCTTTGTTGAGATTCTGGGTTCTTGTTAACGAATTTCGTTTAGGTTACCATAATCAGGAAACCGTACTTAGATCCCCAATACCCAACCTTTAAGCTTTTTGGGTTCGTGTAGTTTTAGTAGAAATCGGAAAGTTGAGCCTATTTTATTTCTGTGGCTTATTGGGGTAGTAAGCTCAGTATTTGCTATAGATCCCCATATGGGGGTTGCCGAAAGTAGGGGAGCCTAATATAGATAAGGTATCCGAATTTCTGGAAGCTCCCGTATGGTAACTTAACTCAACCTTTTTGATTTTGACAGGAACTCAGGATTCCTTTCTTTCCTTGGGCGGCAGTGTTCATATCTGGCCTCACCTTCCCATGCTTCACGCTGCTCACAGATCTTATGTTGGCACATTGTCGCAGCATCGACACGGTTCCTTGGCATACTTCTGGTTTCTTAGGATTTTAATTTTGGGCTTCTATATGACTATAATAAGGAGGCCAAAAGTTTGACTTGTACGAGGGGTCCAGAAGTCAGCCAAGGTGCAAAATCAAGTCCGCCGCTTCGCCATCGAGGACTCTTTATGCTACTGTTGCTCCTGTGGTCATGTCGACAAGCGCACTGGTGTCGAGATGAACTGTGACCGCAAACCAATTCTTCACTGTATCACCGCTTGGTTCGGGTCTGTCGAGCACTTCGAGACTGTTGTGCGAGGCAAAGTGCTGACAGCCTTGGTCCATCAGCTCGCGAATAACGTTTTCTCCTACCAGCGCTTGGTGTACGCGCTTTGCCCGGTGATCTGGTTGTACATGGACCTTATGACATCAGCACCGGATTGGGAAGTTGTGGTCGAGCTCAGTCTTTCAGCTTGCTCATATTACTTGATGGTGTTGCCAAGCCTTGCTCTTCTTGTTCTCCGCTTGGCCTACAGGCTACGCAAGGTCGCCTTTCCAGGGTGGTGCTGTAACTTGCTCCTCTCAACAGGATTGGTAGCTGTAGGTGCAACGGCTTTCGCGATCTGTTTTAGCGTGTCCGCCATTCTTGCAGGGCTTTCCAATAGGCATTTTCAAAGCCACATTCCTGCAAACGCAGCTGTGCTCGCGGTCACGACCGTGGTCGCGCTCCTGCTGTGGCGGTGCTTGCCCGTTGATGCCATCTCAACCCCAGACTAGCACGGCTTTGACGCGTGCAGAGGTAGCCAGGGCTGCCTGAAGTACCTATTGTCGTAAGTAGCAGGCTTAGTTGTAAGTTTATACAACTTATATATGTTCTTTGATATAACTTCTTTATCTTAGATGTAACTTTTTCCTTCTTACTACTGGCCCCACCTTCCCCACCGGGCCCACGCCCCGCCTACCCTCGCCCCCACTTGCCCCGCCTGCCCCACCTACCCCACCTACCCCACCTACCCCACCTACCCCACCTACCCCGACTGCCCCACCTACCCCACTTGGCCCCAATCAACCCGGCAGTCAGGCTTTGCATAGGAGGAGGGGATACCCAAGACGAAAACCCTAAGGAGGAATACCCAAGGCGAAAACCCAAAGGAGTGAATCCAGCAGTAACCCGAGACGAAAACCTAAGGGAATACCCAAGACGAAAACCCTAAGGCGTGAATTCCTTCGACAACCCGGGGAGAATCCAGCAGGAACCTTATCCCGAAGGCGAAAACCCTAAGGAGTGAATCCAGCAGGAACCCTTGACCGAAGACGAAAACACTAAGGAGTGAATCCAGCATGAAACTTCAACCCAGTGTTAGTGGTAGTGGTAGTGGTGTGGTAGTGGTCGTGGTCGTGGTGGTGGTAGTGGTGGTGGTGGTGGTTGTAGAAGTAGTGGTAGTGGTAGTGGTAGTTGTAGTGGTAGAGATAGTGGTAGTGGTAGCGGTAGTGGTAGTGGTGGTGGTACGTAGTGGTAGTGGTAGTGGTAGTGGTAGTTGTAGCAGTAGTCGTCGTAGTCGTAGTCGTAGTCGTAGTCGTAGTCATAGTCGTAGTCGTAGTCGTAGTCGTAGTCGTAGTCGTAGTAGTAGTAGTAGTAGTAGTAGTAGTAGTAGTAGTAGTAGTACTAGTAGTAGTAGTAGTAGTAGTAGTAGTAGTAGTAGTAGTAGTAGTAGTAGTAGTAGTAGTAGTGGTAGTAGTAGTAGTAGTAGTAGTAGTAGTAGTAGTAGTAGTAGTAGTAGTAGTAGTAGTAGTAGTAGTAGTAGTAGTAGTAGTAGTAGTAGTAGTAGTAGTAGTAGTAGTAGTAGTAGCAGTAGTAGTAGTAGTAGTAGTAGTAGTAGTAGTAGTAGTAGTAGTAGTAGTAGTAGTAGTAGTAGTAGTAGTAGTCTTAAAGTCGTAGTTAAGTAGTCGCGGCAGCTTGGACGAAGGATACCACCTCGACGACTCCCACTGCTACTACTACTCGTTCTGCAGCTACTGCTGCTGCTGCTGCTGCTGCTGCTGCTACTACAGCTACTTCTTCTGTCGCTACGACTGCGTCTACTACAACCAGGGCTTGCAACAATGCCAATGGCAATCAGAACCATTTTGGCTGGAAGCGTCGCCGAGTCGCTATAATGTTCATGACAAGGCCACCGCTGCAAGCTTTCAAGGTGCACCCGATTATTAGTCTTTGTAGTATTAGTAGTCGTTGTCGTAGTAGCAGTAGTACTGGTGGTAGTTGGAGCTTCGTCAGCATCAGCTTTGGCCTCAGATTGTTGGTATGATTGTACCACCGATTGCAGAACACCCGCTCGGATTCTAGATGCAAATGACCTCCACTCTGTCCAGCGAAGTGAGCGTCCTGTTACATGCGAGACAAAACCCTAAACCCCCAATATAGTACCCTAAACAGTAGGATCCTCATTATAAGGATTCCAAAATAAGGTACCCCTCATTTTCGGGAACTCTAAACCCTAAACCCTTAATAGAACCCTCATAGATCCCTTTAAGGAACCCTTATAGGGATTCCAAAATAAGGTACCCCTCATTCTCGGAAACTCCCAAATGCCTAAACCTTGTCCGAGCCCGTTGAAGCCCGTTCTCAGCTCCCTGCCGGGCCAGGCACCATCCGAAGACTTTCCTAGAGCCCAGAGCCTCCGAAACCCCATAGTTTCAGGAATATACCGTAAATCATAATAGGATCCCTAATATAGTTTAAGGTATATTCCTTAATTCAGGGTTTTTTGGAGGCTCTGGGAGGATGGAGACCAAGCTCCCCTCGAAAAGCCCTAAATTTACTTGGCCTTCTTCTGGTTGGCTCTTAGGACTTTACCTATAGTCTCCATTGTAGTTCCTTTTTTTGGTTAACCAAAATCTCTATTATAGGGTCCTAACCATAAAACTGGTCAACCAGAAAAAGGAACTACAATGGAGACCATAGCTAACTTTTTGGGGTTCTATATGGACTATAATAAGGAGGCTAAAAGTTTAACTTTTAGTAGGGGTCCAGAAGTCAGCCAAGTTTATTCCGTCTGACGACCCTGCCTGTTCTGCTGTGCGGAGCTTCATCGAAAGTTGGCTGTGTTTTCCGTGCCTTTGCTCTCGGGTCTAGGTGGGCTGCTACCGTTTAAGGCCCTTGAAGCACCGCAGCCGCGCTCTGACGCCCTCCATTGAAAGCTTCCTCCAAGGAAGAGCACTCCGCGTTGGCTACGATTTAGGGTGCTAGGTGTCAGGGTGCAGAGTTAGTTGGGTTGGGGTTCGAGGGTTGCAATTTAGGACGTGAGGTCTTGTGGAGCTTTCCGAAGCATGCGCCAGGTTTCACACCAGCACCCCAAGGTCGATCTATGATTTACTCGGGGATTGGCCGTTGCTTGTTTTTTTTTAATATAGGATCCAGCAATCCCTTTCAAGATCCCTGCCGGAAGCGTGCTCAGAGATCACTTGTCCGTGGGATTCCCGACCTTGATGAGAGAAAGCGAGAAAAGGCACAGCTGCAAATCACCAATTAATGGGGGACCTAAACAATTACCGATACAATGTTGGCGGCTCCTCATGATAAATATAGTATGATGGCCCGAAACCCTATTCTAATTATTAGGGGTTGTATAGTGGTGTTCAGCCGTTCAGTTCTCAACCAGATTTCCACGGAGGTCTCAAATTTCTACTCATACCGGCTCCAAAAGTGACTTGCTGCCTGCTTGAGATGATACAATGTTAGGCTACTCTTATACAGATACATTGACTGGTAAGTGTCCTCAGCCCTGAAGCCTTAGACCCTAAACCCGAAACTCCAAATAAACCCCACGCACAAGCTATGTTGATAAACATTCGGCAGGAATCCTTGAAAGCCTTGGGCGAGCGTGAGAGTCGAAATAACCCCCATAGCCCAAGCTGTGACGTAAACCCTAGCCCTAGCCCTAAACCCTATCCCCAAGGCCCACAACCCTAGTTATACCCTAAACCCTGAACCCTCGATAAAATTGGAGCGATACAGAGAAGATTAGCATGGCATATCCCCAATACCCAACCGTGTTCCTTAAAGGGACCTAAAAGGGTTTCTACAAGGACTCTAAAAGGGTTCGGGGGTATATTATTTTATATCCCCAATACCCAACCTTTAAACTTTTTGGGGTTCTTGTAGCTTAGTAGGAGTCGGAAAGCTTAACCTTTCAATTCTGTGGCTTATTGGGGTAGTAAGGAACCCCAATAAAGGCCCAAGGCTTCTTAATCAGGTTCCTGCTTATACCCTAAACCCCAAACCCTAAACCCTTCTACCCTAAACCCTGAAGCCTAAACCGTAGATCGGTGAGGCATGGTTGGCAAAGGACCGGAGGTCGAGTTCAAGACCAGAACGGAGCTGCACCTGTCCTGGGGGGGATTTATGAGTTGGGAGTTTCCGAAAATCAGGGGTTAGGGTACTCTATTAGGATCCCCTATTTTCGGTAACCCCCATTTAGGGTTCCAAAGAGAAGGGATTCAGGGCTCAGTTCATTGCAGTCCTTGCTCGAAAAGGGTTCCGAAGAGTGTTTACATAAAGTTACCTCTCAGGGCTACTATGCGGATTTTGAGGATTTAGGGGGAGTCGCGTGGTCTGGTGTAGCAGTTTGTGGGGGAGTTTTCGGATCTAGGGTCCAGAGGGGTGCCAACTTGGGCTTGTAGGTTCGGGATTAATGTTTGAGCTGGGTTCAGACTGTGGGCAGTTTGCCTCGGTTTTTAGTGGGTTTTTGCCGTTGCTGGTAGGGGTTTGGTTTGGTTTCGTCGTATGGTGAAGCAACCCTGAGCCCGGAAACCCGAAAGCCCTCAGCAAGAGTTTAGCGATGAGGGTTGTTCGGGATTTTGGGGCTGGTCGGTTGGGGTCTTATTGCTACAGTTCTCTAAGGTACCCGTTGGTTAGCCCCCTGGTTTGTATGGCCACCCTTCTCGAAGGGCTTGAACATTAGGATTCCCATCGCAATCTGCAGTGCGTACGATTTTGGTAATCTCAAGGACGCGCCCATGGACCGTAATTTAGCGCGACGCCGAAATGTGAGCAGTCAGGTGTCAAAGCTCACCCCAAAGAAACATGAGAGTTACTAAGTAGGGGTTAACCCTAAACCCTAAACCCCAAACCAACGGTTTGGAATTGGAGCTAGAGGGCTTGAGGGCTTGGAGTTAGGCTCACGGTTGTAGGGTGCAGATGAGGTTGAGCCCAAGGGGTCCTAAGTAGTAATCTGGGGTACTTCTGGTACGAAGCATAGCAGTACCTGATGAACCCACTATTCTGCACTATGTAGGTACATAGGTAGGTATGCAGGGCCAACAACCATAATGTCATGAACAGTGTTAAGCAGGAATAGTAGAACTAATGCGTTTAATATTCATAGAAACAGCAACACCGCACCCAGCGAACTCACCAAACAAACCAACCAACTACCCAGCGACAACAACAACAATAAGAGTTGTTATGCTATCTCTTTATAGTCCCTCATATAGTCAGTTATGAATTGGGTACGCCCCACTCAGAGATAGTTGAATAATATTCATAATGTAGATATAGTAGGACTTGAATAATAGCCCGATTATAGACTCTTACTGTATGGGGACCGTACCTAAATTATGGCTGTGTTTATAATCTTCAAACTTTTGGGGATGATGAAACCCTCTTAAAACTGAAAGTTTAAACTGTTTTGGGCTTATGAACGCGGCAACTAAGGTCCCTCGTATATTCAATTATGAAACCCTAGAACCTAAGCCCTTGGCCTTGCCTTTACATCCAT